AATTTAAATGTGATATTTGAGCATCCGTATTTTTAAAAGGTTTGTTTTGTCGGATATCACTATCAGGTGAGCCACCAGTATACGATATGTTTCAAATATTTTTAATCCATCAAATGGTCACATTGATTCTGGCGGAGATTTATATCAGGGCATTTTTTTGTTTACGTCTTAGTGCACAATCTGTTTTCATATAATCTGTGATATTATACTCTTATAAGACGATGACTACAAATTTCAGTGCTATGTCCTCTTAAAGTYCAATGACGTAGATACCTCCTCGCAGCATGTGAAGGGCGTTTATAAAAAAAATTCGTTGGCAGTTATATATCCTTATATAGGGACTTATAGCCTTAACATCATAGTTAAAAATATAAAAAGAGGTAGGATACTAGGACAGCACACGCCGCAAACTCACAGAATGGTTTTAAGATTATTATTTAAACTGTTGATGTTATGCAATGTGGCCAATATGCGCTATCGAAGTTTTGCAATATTGAATGTATCATTTAACATCTTATTTTTATATACTATAATACAACCAATAAAAAACAACGTTATGTAAAAAATTTGAATCTATAATTTATGAGCCGCAAAACTCAACTACCTAAGGGAAAATATAAAWATGTTTATAYCTAACCAAATTTCTATTACTATCTATGAAAAGAAAAACTATTACGAATTTCTAACTGATATATAGTTAGTGAGTTTTGGGATTTTGATGAATTTTGTCAAAATTTGAATTTCTTACAAAAAATGATCGTTTCTGTGTATTTTTTATATTTTTATCAGATATTAAAGCATATTAACATATTATGAGAACCATACTATAAATTTAAGTTTTTTTACCAAGTAAAAAGGTATTTCTCGACAGTAACTTTAAAAAAATTCAAAAGATTTCTCAACACCATAAGTAGTAAAATAGCTAAAAAAATAAAATCGATTTWWAAAAAAAAAAWTGGTGTTGCATAAACGGGTAAACGGTACCTTGTTTTTATTTTTCAAGACTTTCAAAAACTTCTGGRAATTTTCAATATTGATCTTTAAAAAGCTTCAACTAGATTCACTTTTCGATCAGAATAAATGCTGTTATCGAAAATTGGAGCATTTTTAATATCCACTCAAATACCGTAAAACGGGGTAACTTTGTACCATTTTTAAACTTTACGACCAAATATAACTAGGTTGCACGTAAAAATACTAAAATGAAAAAAAATTGACATAATTGTGTGGCTACATGCCCTCTGCGGAATAAAATTTTTTTTATTTTKTAATCATAAACATTTTTACCAAAAAAATGGGCCAATGTTATCCGGGAATTGGGTAACCTTGTCCCACCTCCAAATATCGCTATAGATTTGCCGTTTATCCTACTTTGGGCCAAAGTTGGCCTATGCAAGGTTAATTAGCAARTACCTGAAACGTAATTTCACCAGGTTTTATGGTAAAACAAGCTATAATAACGAATAAAAAAATGTATTTTAAATGTTTATTACATTAATTCAAAAAAAATAAATAAATAAATCTGCACTACTTAGATACTAAAAAAAAATTTATTTGTAGTTAATACATAAAAAGTTAATTAATTAAACAAAATCTTCGAGTTCTGGCACACGGAAAAACTTTCGTTTGTCTAATATGGGTGGTTTGATTTTCCTTATGACGTCAGTCCACTAGTAGTCGAYGCAGTCCTTTTTGTTTGGCCACCTCCAACTTTTTAACATCTTTTCCATAAATCTTACCCCTAATGTTGATGACAGACAAAAAGTATTATTAATTATTATTATGTATATTATATAATTATTATAATTGATAATTATATTCAATTCTCTATTGTAGATCTATCTTCTCTACACCATACTTGGCATACTTAATATTTAATTTTTTTTTCTTATATATTATAATATGGGTATCTACATAAATATAATTAAGATTGTTTGTATGGGTATTTAGGACTTGGGTGTACGTGTACCTACTTGGCCTAACTTGGGACTTGGCCGGGTTAGTAAGTAGTAGCAGTTCCTATAATTGAGCTTTTATTAGTAGTTTGACTAGTACCAGCACCTTTTACCAATTGTACTAAATTGTACCTATATAATATATGTATCAATTAATAATTGAGTATATAAATATCATACATTTTATTTAAATCAATATATTTGTACGATATGGCTGCATAGTGAATACCATATATTAATATTATTACAATTTTAACATRATAATTGGTACACGATTCCAAAACAATTGTGTATTTTAATAATCCATACAATATAACATAAAATATATTATATTGGCATGCACATTATTGACATTTGAATAAAATTTAAATAAATAAAATTTAAATATAAATAATTTACATTACGACTCATATAAAAGTCGGCCTTCGTGCGAATGGTAGCGTACTCTGGTGATCAATTCTGAACTACCAAACTGCTGCGATTTTTCGCGTCAATATTGTAACATTGAAAGATACGAGCCTAGAACAATACGAGAGTGGCGTCACCTTATCTTCTCTACATTGTGGTTATTACTTATTACTATAACCATGACTAAATTATTTAGTCATGGTCCTATCCATTATATATTATCTATGATAGTATATGATTTTAGGTTATTAGTCTTATTACCACGATTAAAGATAATARATAGTATCTACTATCTATACTCTTTTATTACTCTATTATTTATAGCCGTGGTTATTATTTATTGGTACAAATTATTAATGTACAATGGTACGCGTTTTTGCGTTAGTGAAATCATTGTATCTGTTTTAATGTTTATTAATTTTGTTTCCGGCCGGTTACTATTTAGCCATTTACTATCGGCGATACTTTAACTACACCACKACGTGCTGCTGCCGTATCGATTTCGGTTTTCTTGCCTCCATAACTAGCGTGAACGCTCGTTGCGAAATCGACACAAAAACTTGCTGTAAGTACACTTCAAATTAAAATACGAATTGCATATGACTATAATCTTCTGAAAGCAACACTACTATCCGTTATTATTAAAGTGATTGAGCGTGGGTGAGTGATCTATCATGGCACGATCATGCTCATCGTCTAGCGACACGTCGTCGCCAAAGTACGAGTTCTCCGATTCGGATTCCGATCACAAGCGACGGGGCAACAAAAGCCGTCCGCGTCGTTTGCCGACCAGCAACAGTAAGAACGCTGTGGCCGCTCGCATAAACCGCATGAAACAGAAACAGTATGTTAAGGACCTTGAGCAAAAGATGTCGCAGCTCAAACGTGAGATCAAGGGTGTAAAACGGGAGTTGAGGGAACGCGAGGAAAAATGGGCTAGCAGCCGTCGACAGGTGGCCTATTTGCGGAGTATGTTAGCCAACAGCAATCAAATTGGCGGTTTGTTACGTAACATACGCTGGAGGAATATCGTCCCACAAGGTAGTAATATCGACAAGACTCTAAATGAGTTAAACTCTGACGCGAGTATTGACCACTTTCCTATTTCCACGAGCCATAGTCTGTTTGATGGTTATTTTGGTTTATTAGAGGAAAGAGACAGCGATCATCCCCACATGGTGCCTCCGCCAGTTGCACCTCAAGAAGATGAGGGCTGGGCACTTTTAGACGGTATCAACCCTTCAACAACTGAGGTAGGTGTATGCTTACATGTATCTAATAGAAGAATATCCGTCGAGTTTTGTGATGAATGCTCAAACCGATTTTATGATAATCCTTACGGTTCGCAAACTTGAGATTTTGTTATTCAAAATATAACTGAAAATAATATTTGTGTACAGTTCAATTGTAGTTTAAATTTATTTGTTTAAAAAACACTATTTAAATGTTCTTGTTAACCTTTTCTCTGCGATATAAAAATATTTCTAAAATTCTTTCCCCCTTGTTGATTTTGATTTTAGTTCATTATTTTTCACATTGATAATATAATAATGTATGTTGCATATGCCTTTGCGACTTAATAATGTCTAAGCATGGTATAGGAACAGTTAAATATTACCTATTTTTTTTTTTTTTATATATAACAATTTTAATTGCTTTGATTGAACATAATATGTTAATTTTAGTAACCCATTTATTTGTAAAACGATTATTAATAGTAATTCATTTTTTTTTTACTCGATAAGTATAAGATAATATATTTTAACATAGAAAATTGGTCATGTTTTTAAGATTTGTTAATTGTATATTTTTAAATTTTTAATGCACAGTTTTGGAAGACTGTTGTTTAAWTTGTCTTATTAGCTATGATTATGGGAATAAGATATTAACATAATTAAACAGCTGTCTTCCAAAATGTATACTAGCAAAAAATTATTTTCTCATTATTAGATAATGGTTATTTTGAAAAATTTCAGCTATTCCAAGAAACCGTCCCATCTAAATATGTGTCAGTGTGCACGTTGTTACCGTAGAAAGACGGTTGTGTGCATATCGGTGTCATAAATGATCTTATTAATTGAAAGGTTGGTATACAAAACATCAATTATGAATGATTTTTATTTATTCTTTATCTATTCGAGAGCAACAAAACCTAAGTTAGACTATTTTGTACATAAATCCTTAACAACTGCTATTAATCTATGTTGATTTTTTAGAAGCTGTGATCTCGCATGTACAATTTTACATGCCAAACCTCCAAATTAGGCATAAGGTAAGAAGTGTTTTTGATTTGATTAATTATCAAGTTTAACTAGTGTTTAGCATTCAGCGTGACCAATTTTCTTATTAAGGACAGTGGAAATTTGGTTAGTTTTATTCATTAAAAAAAATACAATAACACATTTAAAGAAACATGAATAGTAACTAATGAAAGTTAAATAATATAATTAAAGTATTTTTCCACTGTCCTTAATATTTTATTATTGTTATCAATATTAAGTCTTATATTTACAAACAAATAAAATATTTTGTATTTAATGTATAGTGTTTTATTTTACAAGTATATATTTTTTTTTTATGAATTGTCTATGTCCAAATCTATTATTTGATTGGTATTAATTTGTTTATATTGATGAGATATTATTTAAATTATTTAAGCAAAAAAAAATTGTTATTTTTTTGCTGTGTCATAATTTAAGTTGTTTTAATTTAAATCTGTGTAAATAATTAAACATAAACAGTAATTTTAATTACACGAATGTACAAATTATATTTATTTATGTTGTTTATCCTTTTGCATTTCCCAATACAATTATTATAGTCAATTAAAAATTGAATTATGAGTATTTTAAACCATGAACTTAAGATGAAAAAAAATTTTGGTTAAATATTCCAAGTGATAAAATAAATAAATATATGAGGATAGACTTTTACTAGAGATTTTCATTTTCAAATACTTAATAATAATGTAATTAGCATCCCAAAAAAGGTGAGTAATTTATTTATTACTGCTCCTTGTAAATAAAAAAAAATAAATTTGTTTCATTAATAATACTACAATAAAAATAATATACATTATTATAATATTAATCAAATATTAATCACTTATACAAAATAATAAATTTATGTACAATATATTTTGAAAACTTGGAAAAGACAATAATTTGAAATAAAAATGATTACTAAATAGTAATGGCAATTATTTGTGTATGACTAGAATAATTATTTTAATAAAATAGTTTGGAATCAGTATGAAAAAATAAATAAAGTTTGTAATCCATGTTTACAATTTAAAAAATAAAAATAAACATTCGTTGATCACCAATTAAACATTGCTCTTTCTTTTAAAATTCTAATACTCCATGAAGACCACTCTTTACCACTTATCCAAAGTTCATTAGATGATTCTAAACCAGCAAGTATAGCAGCACCCTTCCATGTGACRATTTGTGGGTCCAAATCTTTTGGTGAGCTTATAATTTCAATATGCCCTAAAAAAACACATGTTAATAAATTAACTGTACATTCAATGTTGAGTTTAGTATTAACAATTTGTTTGGAACAAAACAAACCTCCATAATAAACCTGTTGTGCATTTAGTGATATTTTGCTCTTTAACCAAGCATATGCACCATCAAATTTAAGTCCACCGCCTACTACTAATATACTGCTATACATTTTACGTTTGATTTCATCAGAATCTAACAATAAATTTAGTATCACAGGAATTTTTCTTTTTTATTCCATAAATTATCAACAAAAAACTTACTTAACCGTTCAATACTTTGTACAATGACTTTATCAAGACTTTTTGATTTTTCTGTTTCAATTTCAAAATAATTTCCAGCAGTTTCAATTTGATCAACACATATTTCTTCTTCTGTGTTGTGTACAATGCTATTTTCGATTTGTGTTTCAGTTTCCATCTCACGACCAGTGCCACGTCTCTAAAAAAGAAATAGTTGAACAATCATGAAACATAAATAATAAACATTAAATGTTTTTTTGGATAATTACACTGGTTTCTCTTAAAAACTCTTCATCATAAGGATCTTCAGGTAGTGACTTAGATGATTCTTGAGTCACATAATGGTTGTCATCAGTGATACCTAACAATATTGGATTGAACATGCCTAAAACTGCTATCATTGCTTCGTCACCTACCTAAGTGTAACACAAATTAAAAAAGTAAAYTAATTCAAAATCTTCAGTTTTACTTATTCTAGATATTACCTGTATTGTGTATTGTACTTGTTTTTTATTTGGTTTCATTACAGTTACTGTTCTCTGTACAGCCCCACATCTATCCAAATTCAAATGACAAAACTCTTGTTTCAATTGATTTAGTAGTACAGAGTCATAATAATTAGTCATGGGATTGCATTCATGATATGGGAAACTACATTTTTTAAGTAGCCAATGAAATGTTTGAGTGATATTCCCTAGAAAATTAACATCAACTAATAAAATGTAAGTAATTTAAAAGTAAAATTCTATACATTGGACCCATATTTTAATCTCTTTTAAAATGRTTATAATATGAAGTAAAATATAATATAAAAATAATATATTAATTCTTTATAAATGTTAAGTTTGAAATTTTTATAACATAACATGCATGATTTTACTTTGTAACTATAAAAAATTTACCTCCACCATAGCGTAATCTAATCCGTGTGTTTATTTGAGATATACCATCTTCTACACAACTCACTGATGTTTTCCGGTGACCAACATCTACCACACATGCATAACCCAAACCTGCRCCATAAGTCGCCGCAACATGGTCCTAAATTGAAGTAATAATACAACATATTGTACTAATGAAGAATATAAATTAAATAATGCCTTAGACCAGTAGTTTTCATTTTTTTTTTAAACACTGAACAGTAAAATAAATAATATTTTTTGGCACATGTCTGTCATGAACATTTGTGAAATTAAACAAAATTGTTGTTTGGTATAAATATTTATTATTTTTATTAAGTATAATTAGTATAAAACAAAATTTTAAAAACTCAAGGTACACTAAGAGAATGCTTGAGCACATTGGTTGATAACCACTGTCTTAGACAAAAAAAATTCAAGTTTTACTACATTACTTGTATAAGAAGACATGCTTTAAACTTCATACTCAATAATATCATTGACATCATTTCTCTAACATGAACTCTATTGAATATATCCGGTATAATTAAAATCACTTTGTAGTTCTAGAACATAAAATTATAATTTAGGTTATAAACACATTAAATATTTTGAAATTTACAATCATTTGATCAATTGCTTTCTATAATTAATTTATTTGATTACAATACAAAAACATTTGGTAAAAATCAGTTTCATAAAGATTTTTAAATTATATATCGTTGGATTCAAATTTAATTCCATCCATTACAGTAACCCACTAGTAACCTACTGTACAGCAGAGCGACATCCACGACTTACCCGCTTTTTTAAAAAATAATTTTAATTGTTTATGTCTCAAATTAAAAATAACTGATTGATTCATAATATCTTATATGTAATTTATGAACCTCTAATAGCATATAATTAATGATTAGGYTGATATTAAATTTTCAATCTAATTTTAGATGTTTGAATTTGTAGGTACATAACTAATGTTAAAACATCAAACTTAAGCATAATAATAAATAAAAGTTGGCTGAAAATAAAAAAATGACATATAAAATAGTATTATAATAAGAGTTGGGCAAAAAAATATTATAACTCAATAAGTTTATTTATTATTTAATAACTATGGGGTAAAAATGTTAAATAAATATTTGACATCTTATAAGTTGTTATGAATTAAATATATGTTAAATTTAATCAACGGTTGTACCTAATTTCTATAATACGGCCTTTGACTATTGATATTTAATTAAATTAAATAATAATAAATACACATGGTCTATCATGACAGATAGTCATTGTACAGAAGCTTAAACAAGTTGTAATTTTATGTAATGGAAACTAAGTGGTATTTTACTTGATAAAAGTGATAAAGTGTTATATTAATAAATTAAAAATCAGATTAATTAACTAATTAAATAAAAAAAAAACAATACTTTACTATTACAGTTTATAACTCTAAAATTATAGATAATTTAGAACTTTTTGTTTGAATTCAACAACAAATTAAAGCAAGAGGTAACATTATTGATTAATTTCATCTTACATGGAATTCTGAAGTCTTAATATTTAGTAATTTGTTTATACAATGTGTCCAAATAGTTTCCAGATCTGCTAAAACAGCGGTTAATGAACCTCCAATTTGGCCATTAATGTTTAATTCCCCATTCAGTATTGGAAAGAAAACATTATAATCCAGTTCAGGAGCTATATTGAAAATCTGGAATTTAGATAAAATTTATTATGTACCTATGTCTATTTTAATAAATTGGTTATACAAATACTGACTTCTTCTCCATACACAATATCAACTGAAGACGACTTAGTGTGGGCAGGTGGTACATTATCCTTATATTTTGGTACAGAATTTCGATTATAAGCAGCTATTTGTTGAGGCGGTGTCGCATACCTTCTATCGCCATTGGACTGCAAGCTTGACTGTAGCATATGAGATGCTTGCAGTCTACTCTCTTCCATGGCTGCTAATGTTTCAGAGTTCTAAAACAAGTAAGTTAGATTACTAAGATTTTTAAACATGTAAGTTTTGTTTTATTAGCAAATGGAAATAGATATTAACATCTTTAAGCGGGAAAGTTGGTAATATTTGGTCCCTCCTATTCCTAATCTCCGAAAGTAGATTAACCCTGGCCAAACCGTGAACATATTTGAATGGAGTAACATCACTCGCACGGCCAATTTGCAGATAAAGAGATCCTGGATGTATGATGATCACTGAGTTTAACGATACTTTTTCTAACTATAAGACAATTAAGAAGTTAAATCAACTTGTTAAAAAAAAAAAAACAATTAAAATACTTAAAAATAATATGTTCAGATATACCTCTAAATTGTTCTCATTAACAATCGGCATGATTTTAAATTAATATTAAATGATAATCTTGCAAAATAATTCTTTCATCGATATCACACAAAACTTGCATAATATTCTTGATTTTTGCTAATACCTGTAACGATTAGAAATTATATTTTCAACACGAATATAATAGGTAGGAATTTATAAGTGCCCAATATAACACCTAAAGATTTCATCTACACCGAAAAATAAAATAAGTTCACGCAACTTGASTATTTTTTTATAGTGACCACTTGAGCGTTAATTTCACGTTTTCAAACAAAAATGATAAGGATTATGTTATTATGATCATATGAAAGCTGGTTCTATGATTGTAATATAATAGTATCTATATACGGAAGCAGTTAATAAAAAAATACATTCAATGATAATAAATAGTACTGAWTGTTGATAAAAAAAAATGTGTAAAACTGTAAATTGCAAGGCACGGTCTTTTAGATTAATCAGCAAGGTATGGATATTAATTTTCTAAATTTTTATTTTTTATTATACGATCCATRGAATAATTTTTTATTGCAAGGGCTAATGAACGTTGAGTTAGYTATGGGTTAGAGGCCGTTTATCGAATGCATTTTGGCGTGGGAAGTTTGGCTTATTTAGCTGACAGGGCACCGTTTGCGTTTTAAGCACGTTTATTGGTGTACGCTCGTTTACACCGGCGGAAGGAGGGGAGTTCAAACCGTTTTAGTTGTTAAAGACTGTGTTGCAATGGTTTTGCAAATGAGAATGAAATCCTTTAAAAAGAGTTTTGGCCATTTTTTGACCGAGCTGAACAAAGAAACTATTATGGAGCGTGTAATTACGTGCATATAGTATTGTGGGCATGAGGATGACGCTTGATTAATTTGATGGGGATTTATTTATTTACTAATAATAAATAAATAAATTTAAACTATATATTACATATTACCTACCTATTGTACATTATTATTCGTATATAAATGTATTAGATATTAGTTAAGTAGTCATTAGCCATTAGCCAGAATAGCCAGGATTGTGAATGGAAAAGGGGACGTAATATAAATTTAAACTAAGTTTTTTTACAATTTTCGTATGTAAATCGGTATTTTTTAATTTTAATGGTATATTGATAAGGCGTGGAAGATAATTATTGGGGAATCGTCAAAAACCCAGACTCGGGGCCACTGAGTATTAATATAATTATGCTAATAGACTTCCAAAAATTAAATATTTATGAAAATATTTTCTATTTAAATTCAATTTGAGTTATTATTGTTGTATTATGAGTTTTACATGTTGCATACCTACTACCTATGAAAAGTTCATCTGTAGGTATCTACTATATATTATTATAAAGAGGTAAAAAACATTGATGGCAT